AATTTTTTAAGTTTCTGAAAACGATAAAAACAAATACAAATAAATCTAAAACTAACGGTTTAATTGCCACCAATAATGTGTGAAAGCAGGAAATCTCTGCAGCTCGCTGTCTGCCCTCTCTGTGGCCTCCATTGTTGGGATAATCTGAACTCTGATGGAACTCAGAGTGTACAGTTGTGTGTAGCGCAGATGGATTAAAGCCGACTCGGAGCAGAAAAGGCATTTCCTCGGGGAGACRCAGCGACTGGTTTTAAMTAGCGAGCTCATTGTGGAGAAAGCAGGTGATTACGATGGAACCAACAGGATTAGGCTGAAGCATTTCTGCTCAGAGAAAGGAGGCAACAAAGGAGACACACACAATCACGTTAAAGCATACAATCACAGCGCGCAGCAACAGCATAGAAAGAGACGAATGCATACTGCAGCACAAAAAGTGAGCACGCTGCAACAAAGGCTGATTGCACACAAACACTCAGACTGAGCTGGTTTTGTTGTGTTTGCAGATCTGGATCGTGTCACATTCAGGTTCCATCACAACAAGGGAATATGAGCTGCTCTTTTCTTTCTGGGTATAAAAGCAATATTATTTACCCTGCACTGGTTTGAAGAGAATGCAAATAAATTAGGGATACACTAAACACAAAATCTGCAAACATTTAGCGTTTTCACTATTTTCAGTTCCACTGATTTTAAGTGTAAAAATGAGACAAAAACTCTGCTGAGTTTTATTTTCTGTCTCTTTTACTAAAAGCTCAACATCTTTGCTTTTAGCCAGCAGGTAAAATTATCTGTGATTTTGCCCACAGGGTGTCAAAGGGCATTTTTCTAACCTTTTGAGTGTTTGCTGAGTTGTAGCTGCTTCTCTGCCTCAATCTGCCCTCTGTACCATTTTTTTTTTTACTTTTTAAATTTAAGCTTCCTAATAGTCTCTGCCTCTGCTATGCCTACTCTTCCTGGGGCCCAACATACAAAATAAAACATCAAAACGAAACAAAACAATCAATAAACAAACACTTTTAAAATGAAAGTCTACAGTAAACGTCACCACCTCAACATTATCTCCTTTTRCACAACCGATCACAAAAAGCACCCTTAAATGTGACCCAACATGCCAAAACAAGGATTAAGTCCAAAAGTGGCATAAGGAGAAATGGGCAACTGTTAACAAAAATTGCATTTTGTCAAAATAAAATGAATAAAAACCTTATCAATGTATAATTTGAATGGACTGCCTGAAATATAATCATAAAACAAAAAATTTGAAGCACTTTTTTGAGCAGTAGCAACAAAAAATGATTTTGAGGAAAAACACCTTAAAATTTTAAGATTTTCCTTGTGAGCTAGCAAAGTTTTTTTTTAGCTGGGAAATCTCAATATTCAAATATAATTTGAGGTTTCCTCTTCATAAGGACATCAAAAATTCCTCATTAAGATGATATCAAATTAGGATTCAGACCAAATATTTATGTATTATTGTAACCAACAAGACAAATTAAGTCATATATATGGATTTAATTATGACATCAGGATGATTCAGGTATCAAAATGTAGCTTTTAAAGCCAAGAATCTGAAAATGTAATTAGGTCATTTTGACCAAAGTTGACTTAATCCTCATTTCGATATGATGGGTCACATATATACTATAATGGTCCAATACATTTAAATCAAATGGCAACATGTTTCAGTGACCAATGGCTCTGTCTATAGGGCAAAAACATTGTTTTTTCTTTAAAAATAATAAGTTTTAACGCAGCAGCAGTAAACAAAAATATATGCATAATAAGAAAAATGCAAACATCTAATAGTTTTGATCACTATAGGTGCTGGGATTGGAATCTTGCATAATCTGGTGAATTTTTGCAAGAAGAAGGCATGAATAAATGTAGTTCCTGTTGTGTAAATATTTGTGGAATCAGGTGGGGAGGAAAAACTTATTGCAGGCTGTAAAACTGATCAAAAAATGGCAGAAGGAAAATTAAAAATACAGTTTCGGTTCTACAGGAAAACATAGAGGACTTTGTGCAACCTCTATGTAATTTATTGTAAATATAACCAAAGCAAACACTGAAAAATAAAGTTAAAAAGCAAATAAATAAAAATTAAAAAAATAAAAACTAAGTAAAGAATTATATCAATGTTCCTGAAGAAGACCCTGAACTCACGTTGATCAGTGAAAGGATCTGCTGAGTACGAAGACAAAGATGCTGATTTTCAGTTCTATTGTTTCTTTCTTGAGTAATGTGATGCTATTCAGGTYWTCTTTATAAAATCAGACTGAGACATTGATATGACAGCAATTTTATGAGTTTCAAAAAAGTGATGGGTGTAAATACTGCTGCATCAGCATGTCGGTGGGAGGAAGATGTTTCTCTGTCACACAGTGTTTCTGACTTCTGTCCAGTAAAATAGAGAATCTGTTCAATCAATGAACCTGAAAATAATTCTCAGGTTTTGCTCGGTGTTTCTTTAGRTCAGTTTCTCTCTTTTCTTCTCTCCCTCAGTCAGAAGGATCTTTGTTGAATGTGAGGCCTCTGTGTTTAGATCAGTGGTTTTTCCTCTAATGCTCATGTTTTGTGTTGTTTGAGTGCTCTTCACCAGCCGCAGGAACGTGAAGTTATCTGGATGCAGGTTAGAGAGTAACCCTGGCTGTTGAACAGTCCTCTCTACTACAATGCAACCTCCATTTCTGATGTTTGATTTGCATGAGAAACCCTGAACTTTAGCTTTTTTCCTGCTCCTGTTCTCCCTGCAGAACTGCATCTTATTGCCCTGACTGTGACCTGCAGCAGCGAGACGCCTACAGCACGATCCTTCTGTTGGGCCACAAGAAGTCAAGGTTTTCTCTGGAGACGCAGCCTCTCAACAAGATCAGATTTTTACAGGGAAATTAGTTTTTCCACAAATAGACCCTCAATGTTGCATTGAGGCTTCAAATTTAGGCGTTTGTTTGATCTGGTGTTTCTATTCCCTGGTGAATAGAAAAGGATGGTATTTGAACAAAAACCTCACATAAAGTGAAACATCACCGGTCTAGGGTTGGTAAAAAAAAAACAATAGTGTTACTTTTATTGGATCAGCATCATTTTAACTTCTAAATCATTTTAAGGATAAAAGAAATGTTTGCTTTGCTGTAACATTTGATCACAATTTTTTTCACTTGAGCTGCTGTCCTGTTTGCTACAATGGAGTATTAGAGCCACACAG